CTGAAACTCCTTCTACTTCTATTGGTAACAGTTCATCCATCCTCTCTACTACCACTCTTTCACCCATCCATATTTCTAAACAAGTTCACTTCCCACATCCACATATTTTTGAACAAGTTCACTATGAACTTGCTCATATTTCGGAACAAGTTCACTTTCAAACTTTTTCTCCTCCTCAAACTTCAAATCCAAATGATACTTTTCCACATATCACTTTAAATTATGAACAAAAAATTCCTCCACTCTCACCATCACTTACTGAAATCCTCACATCCATCATCACATGATCTTCTCAACCCTAACTCTCACTTTCAATCATATCCTTAATCAATATAACCCAAATCTCCACTCACCCTGATGCTCATATTGTTGAATTAGATGTTTCTGATTCTGATTGTGAGTCAGCTGTTGAGATTTTTACCATACCAGATAGAACACCACTTCAATACTCTGACCAAACTACCCACAAAACAAACATCCTCACAACACCCTCGGATGAATTATTTTCACAGTTTGAGAATAAGGTTGTTGCCAGATTGAACATTCTCACTTAAGGTTGTGCATCTAATGCAAACCTTTCTGAAGTTCTCTCTATGTGCAATGAGTTCATAAAGTGGCTTGACAATAGTTATGAGGAACTGGGATTCTGGTGCTTGAAGGAAGCACAAAGGAACTTTCATGCCAAACTCTCTGGTATAGTCGAACCTTTGCTTGAGAAGGTCCCTGCAACCTTCCTGCTCCCTGCACCTTTTGTGGAACCTCCTCCTCCTCCTCCTTCTCTGTCATTTACTGAACTGGAATCCACCTCTAGATCAAAAGAAGTTGTAATTGCTGAAGAACCACACTCTGCTCCCTCCTTGGTTTTGAAGACGTTACAAGATTTAAAGGCTGAGAATGTCGTCATCAGAGAAAAACTGGACAAGCAGGATGAGATTCTTAAGGCTCAAGCTGAGAATAATTCAAAGATTGAAGGAATGTTAGAAGCCATTCTATCCAGATTACCAACCTCTTATAAACCTTGTTTTTTAAAACCTATTGCTTTCCTAGTTTTTAAGTGTTTATTTTTCATTTCTGCACTTGTAACTCTTGCAATCACGAAAAGAAATTTTGTTTGGTGCTCACTTTGTCTATCTTTGGTTATAAGTTTTTTATTGATGACAAAGGGGGAGAAGATTGATATGATTTTGATATATCTATATTCATTCTAAAACCCAAACATTTGCCAATTCTTAATCTTATTTTTGGCTCTGATTAAATTATGAGAACATTGAATAAGTTCATTGTGTTAACCAAGTTTGTCAGGAATTAAGAATTTCATCAAATGAACCAAGCTGGTAAGATGAACCAGGCTGAACCAAGTTGTTTGCTAAGAATTTTTTAGAGGATATTGAGAATCGGGCTATATGTTAAAGAATTCTTCAGAAGAGTTTAAACCAGACTGATATACTAGTTCTGATGATAACCAAGAATTTAACCAGGAATATATGAGTTCAAACAAATCATGCTCTGATACGAGGCTGATAACCAGAACATTTGATACTCAAGGCTAGGGCTGGAAATGAACCGAACCAACTCAAAAATAGTTTGGAACTCGATTCGTCAATTAAATCGTTGAACTAGGTTCATGAACCAAATGGGTTGAATATGAGCAAAAAACTAAGTTCGTTAACTAAATGAGTTGAACTTGAACTATACATAGTTCGACTCGTTAAGTTCATGAGTCAACTCGATTACATATGAGAAGGATTATATTGTCTTTAAGATTATGTTTAAAGATTTACTCCAAATTTTAATCCTAAATATGTACTAGTTATGGCGGTAAAACCGACATTTGCATTTAGAGTCATCCTTGTTGGAGGCATAATGACATTTTCTAAAATAACATGTGTAATGAAGGTTACAAGTGGTGTAGTATAATCATTTTGTGATGGAAATGTATCAATTTCTAGTAATTTTTGGTGTACAATTTCATTAAAATTGTATGGTTCCTAAATATTTAGACGAAGTTGTGGATTTTTGAGACAAATTTAAACTTCAATTGAGTAGTTTTTGAATTAGACTTTTAAATGTATCTCTTGAAAGTTGTGTAGTTTTTGAATTAGTAGACTTTTGAGATAAAGTTAAATTTCAATTAGATAACTTTTATTTTATTTTAACATTTTCTTTTTTAAAAATTATTAATTTAAAATGTCAAATATATATAAAAAAAACAGACTTAAAAAAATGGCTTTTAAGTCCATGAACCAAGTGAGTTGAACCTAATAAAATGAACCTAACGAGTTGAACCGAACTGTTCGGTAACTTATAACGAGTCGAGTTTGAGCTTAAAAAAAAAGTTCGTGTCGAACTCGAACTGAGATTTGAACTGGACCAATTCTTAACGAGTCGAGTCGAGCTGAGGCGAGTTCGACTCGACTCGACTCATTTCCAGCCCTACTCAAGGCAAAGATATTATGAAATAATTCAATAACCAGGTCTCTACTTCTGTTACAAGACGTTCTGGAAAGTTATTTCTTTCATGCTAATTGAGATTTTTGTATGTTAAAATTATTTTTAAAGTCTTAAATTTAGGGGGAGCTTGCAAACCTAACTCTGAAATTTTAAGATGGAAATTAATTTTAATAGTATAAAATTCAGGGGGAGCTTACAAACTTCACTATGATGTTTTTATAGTATTTAACCAAGTAAAGATTGTTCGTCAAAAAGATAGTTTTGTCATTATCAAAATACCTTAGTGTGGTGCACTACTTATTGAAGTTTTAAACATCCGTTCTAACATCCATGTTCACCTGAAAGCTCGTGTGAAGGAATTAATCAATAAAAATCAATGGAGTATCCCAATTGCTATCACTAATGCTTATCCAACTATGATGCATAAAGTTTCTCAGGTATGGATTCATCCATTTCAAAGATAAACTAGTTTGGAACCATTACACTACAAGTAACCTATCTTTCATGGAGACTTTTTATTCACAATATCACTGTTCAACATTGTAGTTGGGAAAAGTTGATTTTGAATCAACGCATCCCTCCCTCTAAATCTCTTTTATCTGGGAGATTAACTCACAACAAACCCCATACAAACGACAATCTATGTATGAGAGTTTGTCATTTCCCATGTATGTGCAATTTATGTGAATCAAATATATAATATTCCTCCCATATTTGTTGTTTTTATCCTCTGTCTTCTAAAATTTGAATTTGGTTTAGCTCTATCATCAATATTAGATTTAAGCATGACACTCTCTTTGATTTCAGGGAAGTTTGCAGCAAAACTTAATCTTCTCAGTCCGAGTTGATCATTATTTCTATGATTTTTAATTGCATTGTTGCCATATGATTTTGTAAGAATCAACTTAGGTTCAACAACAAAAAAGTCAATTTGAACTCTTTAGTTAGTATGATCTTTTCAAATGTTTTCATCTAAGTTTCCTTTATTATGATCAATTTTCGACTTTTATCATTTTCAAAGCTTTTGACGTAGAGATTCGTCCTCCAAAGGCTTTCAAAATTGAAGAAGTTATATGGTGGTCTCCTTCTCACCCTTGGATCAAAGGCAACATTGATAGATCAATTATGGATAACCTAGACTCTGCCTCGTGTGTTAGCATTGTAAAAAAGGATGAATCTTTATTTTTAGGCTTTTTTTTTTTTCCAAGTCATCATTGGTCTGGAAAATGCTTTCCATGTTGAGTTTAAAGTGTAATATATGCCATAGAATATATTTTCCAAATAAATTAACATCAATTATAGTTAGAAACTGATTATAGATTAGTAACCTTAACTTTTATATTCGTTTTCTAGCACATTAGCTGACATATTAGAATCTAAGTTAACCTATCTTCATTTAACTCAATATATTTTTATATAATTTCTCATATTTACAAGGTAATCACTGTCCAATAAATTAACTGCAATATTTTTAGATCTCCAAACTCATTTTTAGTGAAATAATATGTTTATTTTTGATTTTTCCTATTCGTTGTTTTTAAATGTTTGGATCATATTCTTGTTCTTATTTTAATATACTTTAAGGTTATACTCTAATTATAAAAATATATACACATATTTAAACAAAATTATTATTTCATTTTTTCACTAAAATTGGCCAAGTTGAGAAACCGCATAAAAAGAGAAAGAGGGAAAATTGAAATTTTTTAATAAGGATGAGAGTAAATAAATAAATAAATAAATATTAGAAAAATATAAAATAAAAAAGAAAAAGAAGAAAGAAAGAGGAGGAACAAGAGCAACACTGAGATCGAGCTACACATGAAGCACAGACCAAACTGAGTTTCCAAATTTCTATGCACTTTCCTCAACTTCTCTCTACTCACAGCTCAATCAATGTATATTTATAACCCTTCACTTTTTGCTCTTCATTCTGCTTCATTTCATTCAATTTGCAATTTTTTCCCTCTTTTATTTCTAATACATGTATAAATTTTGCTTTGCTCAATTTTGTTCATTTCAGTGATCTCTTCATTATTCAAAGTTTGAAGCTTTTGGGGTTTCACGAAGCAATGAGGGTTTTCAGATTGGTGCAAGTGATGTAATGTTTTTCTTCAACGCAAGCATGGTGTTTCGGGCCCTTTAGTTTGGTTGATCAAACTCAGGGTTTTGATTTACCATATGATTTTTTGAATTGGGTTTGATTTAAGTGATTTGATGCTCAAGGGTAGTGTGTTTTTTCAGCGGTTTGATCTCTAGGGTTTTGGGGTTTGGGAAATTGAGATTTGGCTTTGCATTGTGGGGATTGTTGATTTGTGAAATTTGGGCAAAAGGGTAACTTTATTGATGTTCAAAATTGGTTTTTTATCTACTGGTTGTTTGGATATGCTGAGGTTGTGGTGGTTGATTTATGTTCAATGATGTGTGTTTGTGTAGTTTTTGAGTACTTTGGAAATAGATATAACTGTAATTTGGCTCAAATTGAGGTTACTGGTGGGTGGGTTGTTTTCTGATTTTGTTGGAAGGTGTATGAATCTGTATGTTGAGAAATGCAACCTCAACAAAGCTCAAGAATCAATTTGTGTGAGTTGAAAGTACTGATTATAAAGAAGATTGGAGTGGAGAAGTCGAAGCGGTACTTTTATTACCTGAACAGGTTTTTGAGTCATCAGTTGAGCAAGAATGAGTTTGATAAGTTATGTTTTCGGGCCCTCGGGAGGGAGAATCTTCCATTGCACAATATTTTTGTGAAGTCAATTTTGAAGAATGCCTGCCAAGCTAAGACTCCGCCACCTGTCCAACTGTCGGATCCTTCAAAATCAGGAGCACGTGTTACTAATTTATCTGCTGGTAGGGAAGATGGACCCGGACAGAGTGTTGCTAATGCGAACTTCCAAAATCATAATGTTTCTGTTTGGTCAAACGGGGTTTTGCCAGTGTCTCCACGTAAGTTACGGACTGGAATGCGTGATCGGAAGCTTAAAGATAGACTGAGTCCCCTTGGACCAAATGGGAAAGTTGATTCTGTTACTCATCATTGCATGGAGAACGGAGCTATTACTCCATGTGATTATCAGCAACCAACACAGCATCTTCAAACAGTTGCTGAGCTACCTAAGAATGCCATGGGGGATGCTATTCAGGGACTAGCCGAAACGCCAAGAACACGCGCAAAAGGTCTGACTGAAATATCGACTGTGGAAGATGGAGAGGAGGTAGAACAACTAAACCGCCTCAGTTTTACTAGATGTCCTCTGATAGCACCACTTGGGATTCCTTACTGCTCTGCAAGTGTGGGTGGGGCCCACAAAGCATTGCCTGTGAATAGCACAGGCGATTTTGTTGGTTATTGTGACAGTGGTAGGTTATCTGATCCAGATACGTTGAGAAGGCGCATGGAGCAGATTGCAATGGTACAAGGTCTTGGAGGTGTTTCTATCGAATGCGCAAGTATGTTAAATAGTGTGTTGGATGTATACTTGAAACGGTTGATCAAGTCTAGTGTTGATTTAGTGGGAGCTAGGTCTGCAAACCAGCAGATTCAGGGGAAGGTCATTAACGGCATGTTGCCGAATAATCATTTACATGTGCATAGTACTGGTAGGACGGCGGAACCCCAGCCTGAACACAAGCCCCAGTTCTCAGTATCTTTGAATGATTTTAAAGTTGCAATGGAGCTAAATCCACAGCAACTTGGAGAAGATTGGCCACTACAATTAGAGAAAATTTCTATGCAATCCTTTGAAGAATAACACATCAATAAAGATATTTCTTCTTTTACTTAAGCAAAGGCTGGGTCTGTTTCTTCTGGTTCTGATAGCTCGGCCGTAGTTGGTGATTATCGCTGTACTTTGCTCTGTCCATATTTCCAAGATGAACCAGAAGGCATCCGAACGGGGAATTGCTAGCCCTTCCAAGATCAAATGGTGCCTCCGAGCTTTCAAATGTTTTATCTCTGCAGTGTGCTGAAGCTAGCATGGATCAGAAATATATTTAACTGCAACCAATGGTACTATCAAATGAAGCCCGAGATTGGTTGCACTGTTGTATGTGTAGAATTGATATTGACTGTATTGTTGTTATTGCAAGAGATCTAGTTTGCAATACGGTCAATGAAGAGACTTGGAAAAAGTTTTGCAGGAATACTATTGTGTAACTGGGGTCAAGGAACTGTGACATGTATAAGTGTCGAAGGGTTGCTCTGTATGTAATATTAGAATATGACGATTGGTTTAGATTCAATATTAATAACACGTCAAAATGATTTCAGCTATATGGTTGAACTTCATGGTCCAAATTTGACCAATATCTGAATTAGATTTTTGTTTTCTACTTTATTCATCATGTAGATCTGTAAGTTACATGTCTCTTTCAGTTCAAAACACTTTTAGTGAAAATAAATGATATCTGACTTTATGTTATTACACTTATTAAATTTTGATGTTATGGAATATTACGATATGTTACTGTTGATTCTGTCATAAATCTGAAGATATGAAAGTATTGAGAATATGGCCAGAACTTGTAAGTTACTTATACCAATATAGTCTGATATTTTGTACTTGTCACTTAGAGTCATTACACGAAGATATGGTCGAGCATTGACCTTGATTTTCTAATACAGTTTCGACAAACAACTGTGCAATCTACATAGAGTAGAGAGAATTCTTAAAGTTGTATAAAAGCTCAACATGTTTGAGCTGCAGTAAGAAAAAGGCGTGAAATTTAATACTGAGGTTGCATTTTGTTTGTATTGGTTGTTGTAAGTTTCTAAAGCCATGTCTGTATCAGAGTTACTTTTATAGTTTTCTGCAACTCATCATCCTTGCATCCTTTTGCAGGCACATTGAAGCTTTGAAGAGTCTTTAGGTAAGGAATCTTCATGCTGGGTTTGTAACAGACCTGGTTGGGACTAGTTTTGGACAGTTACATATACGTGAAAGCTGAAAATTTATTAGGAAAAGATTATGGATATATTTAGCATTAGATCATGAGAAGAAATGCCACGTAGGTCTGATAGATTAGATGCCACGTTGAGCTTGGGATCAGGTTTTGTTGTTGCACATCTTCCAAATGCTTGATTCATGTGATTTATTGGACTTGAAAGATCTGTTTAGGGCTATATTCTCATAGAGAAAAGTGACGATGATTTCTTAATGCAACCGATATATTATTAGGGCATTATGTAAAAATACAAAAATATTTTTAGATTTTGGAGATATATTTTCAGACGCACTTCAAACACATATATCCTAGATCAATTTTGAGTCACGTCTTAAGAGTTTGACGTATTTAGATCTAGAGATGTATATTTGAAATCTATCTGTAGATGCATCTCCATACCATACTGAAATAGAAGTAAAAGCAAAAAATCAGAACGTTGTATTTTGACAATAAAATTATCATTCATAACATAAAATCAACATTACATAGGTGATGAAACATATAATCAAACATTATATTTTAATATTCAGGTAGATGTTTCAACATCTTCACAATATCTTCATCCGATCTTGAAATCCCCGCTTCCACTTCAGAACTTTTGTTTTGAGACAGAAAAATATATTTCACATAGACCTTACATTTGCATTCGTCTTAAACTCATAGTTGTTGAAATCAATCTAACATTCGTTGTTAATTGACGGTGAACGGTACTCGATCTTCACAATTTTTCGATTATCTATGTAAGGTAGGAGATTCTGCATTGCGTATTGCATATTTGCAAAACAAATGTACTAATTGATCTTAAACTTTCGCCTGGTTGTCGCACTGTAAAAGGAGACATTTGCGACATACCAGATGATGTTTATTTGTGACATTTGCGACATTTCTTGTTTGTATGAAATAGAAAGAAAAAAAAACAAGAGGCTATATTTATAGAAGTTGTAAACAAATATGAACCTAAAAAATTCTATCATGTATAAGTGGTGGTTTCCGAGATACATTTTTGGTACCATCCTATTGTTTTATTTCAAAGATGCATCTCCAAAACCTCTCTTGAACCAGACAGAAAACAAAACCTGTGTGTTTTGTTTGGCAAATGAACAATTTTTTTGGCAAACATCAAAATATATTGAAATATTTGAATTTGTATATATTACACTCATTAATAATAACACACAAATACATACACTTAATTGATGATGAAAAACTAAAACGAATTGAAAGATTTGTCGACAGCTAAATCTATAAGTATGAGTGATACCTCCTTTGATTTTTGTGCATTTGATTCTCTTTCAATGTTGCTCAATTTGGTGAACGTTTGCATCCTTTCTACAAATCAGCTCAACCAAGTCTCAACTTTTGTTGTTGAATGAGTCATCAACTCCACTTATGTAAGTGGTATAGGGCATCCCGGGTTCAAATAACTTTTGAACAAAATGTCATGATTTTGAAAGCCACTGAAGATACATAGTACGATCATTTGAATTTTGAGGTGAGACCGTGTGCGGTGGAAAAACAATTTCTTTGAAAAATTATATCTTGTAAGATCAATACTCACTCTAGATCATACGCACTTGGTATGAGATGACCTATTTCAGGAAAGCACATCCATTTTTTCTTCGATGTCGGTCCACTAATTGAAGGAACAAAAGACTCATAAATTGCATCAAAATTTTCTTTCTTTCCAAAAAGTCGTGTATATGATTCTTTATGGGTCTTTAACTCATGGGTAAGTTGATGGCGGACAAGTGTGTGATTGTCTTCTCCTTTATCGAGTAAAGCCAAAACAACTCAAAAACCGCAATTACAGTCACCCTCAATATTGACGATACGTTCGATATATATGTGCATAAAAATCAGCATCTCGTCAATGAAATAAATTTTTTATGGAGGCGGTTTGCTAATGCAAGCTCCTTTAAAAATACTTTTTTTTGTTGAGATTTTGGAGTTAGTGAGTACGGAAAAAAATTTCAACATGTTCTAAATACGAAGGAGATCGCACTGTTGAATTGTTACTCGATGTAGGCTTGACCTTGTTCAAAGCACCTTTTGTTTTTATCAATTGAGAGAGTGGTTTCAAGTCAGTGGTTTTTGAATAAGCAATCTTCCTCAATTGTTCTTTGATGTAGAGTTTCATATTGTCATCGACTTTCAAAAATATCTCTTTTATCACTTCCCATTCGGTCAAGATAGAGATATTCAATTTACCGTCTTTCATGACACCACCATTATCAAACCTAAGCATTTTTCAGTGACTGCAAACTTCATCCATTCTTAACGGGTTACCAAGTTTCACCTTTTTTGCTATAAGACAAACACATGGAAGATAATAGGTTTTCTCAATTGTGCAACCACACTTTGCACTATCGGAGCCTACATTATCAGCTCATTTATCTTCGTGAAAAATATAATTCAAACCTGCTCGAGATATGTTGCCAACCAACTGAAAATAAAGATTGTTGTCTTTAAATCTGTGTTCCAAAATTGTGATGTTCCGACCATATGATTTTTATATCTCATTATGCTGGTTTTATATCATTTGGTTCACATAATCTCAATCTCTACACAAATCGCCCTTACTATTTCCCAACCAATTCTTCAATGTAGCCTGGGCAGACTCAAATTGATTTGTTGTTGTATTCTCAAGGTGTCTAAACTGATCGGTCAATGCACAAACAATTTTCTCCTTCACCTGGTCTAGAATTGTGCTTTTAACATATTTCAGCAAATTTGGATATTTCTCGCTCACCTTCCTGAAATGTATAACAGAATCAACATATAACTCTTTAGTAGAACTATTTACTATAATATTTCATGCATCCATTATTTTTTTCCACTATCACATCCGCCTTCACCATTTTCCATCTTCAGCCTTTATTTGTTTCATTCCTACTGTGCGTTTAACCTAACTTCTCACATTCTTTATTGTATGATACCTATAAAGTAATATATTAGAAGTAGGAAATACCTTTGCAACCTAATTCATAAAAGCGGTATTGCAATCGGTAATAATTACTTTTGTCATCTCTTCTTGACCCTTCAATATTGTCTAGCACACCTCTAAAGTCCAAGTAACATTGTTCTCTTTTTCACTCTCTATAAATGCAACCCCGACAGAATAAGTCTTTTTAGTAAATGTAACATCAACCATCTCTAATAGTGAAAGTACGTACTTGCTGGTCTTATATGTTGCATCAATGATGAACACATTAGGAAACATGCTGAATAACTTTATGGAATGAGGATGAGTCTAAAATATATCTCTAACAGTTACACCATCATGGCACGTTCAGTACCTGAAAACATAATTGTTATCATCCAAAAGTTTAAATAATTGTTGCATTTGACTTCTATCCCCCCTTAGCGCCTTGTTATTTTGGTACCGAATATTGTACACTTGTTTGATATTTGAGATATTTTAAGTTCTGTTGCGTTTCAAAGTTGCAAGTATGTTTTTCGGTTGAACCAGATTCAATGTCATATCTGAAACTCATTTCTTCTCTTTCGGCATGAGGTGACACGTAATCGAATGACTGACTAATTTTTCACACAAGTCATGGTTATGTAAACCACATATGACTTTAAATATCCATTTCTTATTTGCCAACATATAACCACACAACTTAAAGGGACACTCATATTTTCTTGAACCAGTGTCATCTCATTTAAAATTTCGGAGAGAACGTTTATATTTCCCAACTCTTTCACATGTCATTGTCACAAATGCATCTCTTCTATCTGAAACATTACCGGATCTTCTGATTACCACACCAAATCCCAGTTTGGAGGCCTCCGTACGAACTCATTGAAGCATGTGATCACGAAATTCAAACTCTTGCTCATTTTAAATTTGGTTTGTAACATCTACCTTCTTCACAACAACACTTTTGGCATCCGGAGACACAACGAATTTGGAAAATACATTGGGAATGCACCATATCTAATAAAAATAATTACAATTAAAAACTCAAAAACTACTAATATTATAAAAAGAGCTAGAAAAATGAGAACAGACAGCCTACAGAGATGCATCTTAGGATGAGTTCATACAGAATCTAGAGATGCATCTCTGGATTGATGAATGTTTTCAGACTAAAAATAAGCTTAATGTGAGAAATGAGGCTTGATATAAATGATATTTACCTGAAATTCCAATTTCTTTTACTCCCTTTGATGTGATGAAACATAAGAATGATGATTTGGAGTGAAAATGTTGATTGAAAACGGAAGGATTTTTGAAAAGGGTTTGGAGTGGAAAACAAGTATGGATTTGTGATCATGCAAATGAGTGTTTTAGCAATTTATTCCGGAAATATTTGACATACAAAAGTGAGAAAAAAAATTCAAAATTTCACCCCAAATCTTTGTAGAAGTATGTCTGAAATATCTACTGGAAGACTCAAATATCAATATATTTGTTGAAAATATCTGGAGATACATCTTCGAAATAAATTTTTGTTTCATTCTGGGCTGACACTCATTTAGTTCATCATAAGGTGATACATGTTACGTTTCCAGATGAATCTCCAAAATCTAAAAGTCATTTTCAACTTTTTATAAGGTATTTTTCCACCCCATAAAGTGGGATAACAAATTCCCAAAATAATAGGAACCCTAATGCCATATTCAAGAGGCATACCAATAACACTTATTGCTTAGGGTTGTAATATATTTTTAAATATTTCTTAGGTTTTTCTTTTTAAAAAATAGTAAATAATAAACTAATTTATAACAAATGAGCTTATAGTATATGATTTATAAATTATATACATTATCTAGTAAAAATTATAGTTAAATTAATTTATAAATATGAAATGATATAAAAAAAATATTATGTTTAATTAATTTTATAATTTAAAATTCCAAATATAAAATTAAGAGAAAAGATAATAACGAATAAAATTATCTCTGGTTAGATCTCTTACGATCTTTAAAGAAATGCTATGGAGTTGCACAAAGTTCATGGAAGGTCAAAACTATGATCAAAGAGGACTTCTAGAGACCTGACAAAACTATGATCAAAGAGGACTTCTAGAGACCTGACAATCCAACTAAAATAATCATGCATTTGGAAAAGGAGATTGAGACTTGACAATGTTAGATTCTCAGTTCCAAAGATCAAATATGTCAATGGTATCATCCTTATGAAAATTAGATTAAATTCAACTGCGATGATGTTTAAGAAAAAGTATACGTTCACTGCATGATGTGGAGGCTTGTTCAAAGACTCCTTTGAAAATTGGGTGACATGCTATTCTCGAAAAATTGGTTTGTGTGATGCTCTTATGACAGAGATGTGGGTGATGTTGCATGGAGTTGAGCTAGCTTTACAGGAGAAAATTACAAATGTGGTGGTTGAGAATAACTCTAAAGTCCTAATAGATATGGTTAACCAAGATATGGGAGATAATTACAACTTTCAATTCTTAATTCGTAGAATCAAAAGGATGGCTAAGAAGAATTGATTCATCAAGTTCTATCATACTTAACAAGAAGGAAACAATTCTGCAGATCTTAATTCGTAGAATCAAAAGGATGGCTAAGAAGAATTGGTTCATCAAGTTCAATCATACTTAACAAGAAGGAAACAATTCTGCAGATTGAGTCTTGCATTGAATGAGTTGAATCTCATTTTAGATGATGATAATTCTGTGACATCATTCTTTATATGTGTTAGAATTGATAGTTAGTTTTTTTTTCTTTTCTTTGGGTCAATAAGGTCTCTTTTGTATTAAAAAAATTGTCAAATAGGCGAGATAACTCAACTGATATGTTTTAGTTAATTTAAGTTGTTTGTTATTATTTATAAATCAATAATTTTTTATAAAAAAAATATAAAATTGTTTGAATGAACTTATCAAAAAATTATGAACTCTTAAAAAAAATATAAACAAATTGTTTTGAAATATATAAATTTATAGACTACGAGACATAAATTTGAGTCATGTAGTTTTGTTTCGAAATTTGTATGCAGAATTCAGGGAGATAGAGAGATAAGCAATCGTAAGTGTTTTAAGCTATTAAAATAATCCTATAATGTTTGAGAATCAAGGTTAATTGTACCTTATATACAATACTCACATTCCATAATCCGACAAGACACATTTTTTAAATGACAAAGTCGTGATAATTCTCACATGTAAAGTATATAATACCTTGTAGTCGTATTAACACTTAAAGCCGATTGCGGACTCGTGGTCAATTGAAATAATGACATTAGAAAGAGGAGTTGAACCCATATGCTCTTCTACCCCTTAGTCTTTAGTCTTGATTGGGGAACAATTGTTATAAACTCCTCACTCGCATTTCTCAATTCAAAATCCAACGAAACGCCTCACATCACTTAATAATTAAAGTTAAAGATAATTTATATATATCACTCACATCACTTAATAATCAAAGTTAAAAGATAATTTATATATATCACTCGCATTTCTCAATTCAAAATCCAACGAAACGCTTTTTAAAAAAGGTTAAAATAATAACATATTTTTGTATTATTGTGTCGCATTATTGATTAATTTTATAGTTTGCTCTTTTGAAGATTTCATATAAAAACTCATTAAACAAATATATTTTTTTAATATCAATAAAATTTTTAAACAATTACAATAATTTAGTAAATTATCAATATACCATAAAAATATGAAAAATAATGTTTAAATGAATATATTAATTATATTAAAACATTATTATCTTTTAAAAAATATATAATATTTAAATTAGCCGAATTAGCCTAGAAACACTCTATTTTACTAGTTACACTTTTACAAAGTATTGAAACCTGCACAACACCCTAATATCACTCAATTCTACCATTAGTGTTCCAAATCAAGCCAGCCATTATTTTTATATTGGATTTAACTTGCCACAAAATTCATTTACGAGGTAAGAAAAGTTACTGTTTATAAATTAAAACTATTTTCTCGTCTTATCTTTAAAATGATGTATATAGAAGACTTGTTGATCAACTCCACATCCAAGAGTACAAACACCTCTACCACATTTTTCCTCCAATGACGCCATACGTATCCTTCGATAGTTATGTGTCAGTCACAATGCATCTTTTGATAGTGAAGACTTATAGGTTTATGCAAATCAATTCCTAACTCCAAAACTCCATAAGGGAAAACAAAATCTCTACAATCATAGAAAAACAGAGTCATGCAAACTACTCTTTTTATTATGTTTTTCAGTAAAAAATAGTAAGCTGAGACTACTTTCATCCACAAGACAACAATGAATCCCTAGCCAAATAAAGATCGGATTCTCTGTTCTCACAGAAAAACACGCGGTTAATGATTGAAACCATCAGACGGTTCACATTTTGAGTTCATGTTTGGAATCGGACTTGAAACTCAGAATGTGAGCCGTCTAATATTTTCATATTTCATCCAACAATTCCACTTTGGCCATCCAAGTGAAAGCATGTATGTTTTTGCGACCCGAGAGAAACAAGATCGCACCTAGAAGGAAAGTAAAAATGCAACTAATGAGATGATAATGATGATGACGAGGAGGAGGAGGAGGACAGTGTCGCTGACTCTTTGCACATAGGGCACCAATTCTTCAGCCTCAACCATTCCTGTACACAATCAACATGATATTTATGCGAGCATTGCAGTCTTCCAATTTCATCTCCAACAACATATTCCTCCTACAAATTACATAAATTTATCTAAATCAAATCTTGTAACAAATAATTGTCGATGGAATTAAATTTTGTCAAGCTGAATCCTAGTAACACATGGTTAATCATTGCCTATATAACATTTAAGCCATGATGAGATGAGAATCATCTATGGAAAACTTCATTAAAAGCTATAAAAATACCTGGCAAATGCAGCATTTGATGTCATCGTTATCCTCATCAACACAGTCAGCTGCATCATCAGAAAGCGTAGACTCATAGACACTTTTTTTAAGACTATCAGAGAGTGCTTCCTCAGACAGACCAGTGCTCACTGTGCCCATTCTCTCTTCAAGAGCTAAGAGTTCCTGTCAGTAGTATAATATAAATATTCAGGGGTGGAATAGATAAACTTAAAAGAAATTTTGAAGATTTATAATCCCAAACATGACATATCCTCAAGGATGTAATAGTTATTGTTCCGCGATAAGCTATCCAGCATAAACTATTGTCACATAGCGGCTATAGCAGCACAATAACATTGTTGCATAGCAGAAATTGAACAAACCACTATTTTCTACAATCGGCGATTGACAACTTGATAAAATAAACCAATTTGATGAACCATAAAACATTAGCAAACCTCATATGACATGTCATCGACATCCAACCGCATGTCTCTATGAGTATCATAGAAGCTAAGTCCATCAAGAATAGAGTTGGTCTCTAGTAAATCAATTTGCTGCAAAGATAAAAATAAAAGTAAATTAAATAACTAGCAAATTAAGTAAGTTAATTTTTTTTTTTAATCTACAATTACCTCATGGCTTAATTCTTCATCTTGTTCCATTCTCTCAAGTGCCAATAATACCTACATCCAATAATAAAACAGTACTTACATTTTAAACTCTCATTAAAGATCATAATAATAAACATGCACTCCTTTGTTTACATCAAAAGTTACCTCTGAAATACCATCCATATTGTAGCGGGAGCCATCCTGAATTATTAGAGAATGAGGGGTGCCGTATTCTTCAGGAGACATAGGCATAACACCACGAAATTCCTCTGTGACAGGAGAGTTGAGATCAATAGAATGAGGAGAAATAGGCAACACATCACGGGACCCGTTGTTTTCTTTGGAATTTTCATTTGCTTGTTTAGAAAATCTTCCCCTCGCATAACCACTAATCTTTGTTTCAGTTCTAACCGATGTTCTGCTGTTGTCCCCATTGTTTTCTTTGGAGTTTTCATTTGCTTGTTTAGAAAATCTTCCCCTCGCATAACCACTAATCTTTGTTTCAGTTCTAACCGATGTTCTGCTGTTGTCCCCATTGTTTTCTTTGGAGTTTTCATTTGCTTGTTTAGAAAATCTTCCCCTCGCATAACCATTTATCTTTGTTTCAGTTCTAACCGATGTTCTGCTGTTGTCCCCATTGTTTTCTTTGGAGTTTTCATTTGCTTGTTTAGAAAATCTTCCCCTCGCATAACCACTAATCTTTGTTTCAGTTCTAACCGATGTTCTGCTGTTGTCCCCATTGTTTTCTTTGGAGTTTTCATTTGCTTGTTTAGAAAATCTTCCCCTCGCATAACCACTAATCTTTGTTTCAGTTCTAACGGATGTTCTGCTGTTGTCCCCATTGTTTTCTTTGGAGTTTTCATTTGCTTGTTTAGAAAATCTTCCCCTCGCATAACCACTAATCTTTGTTTCAGTTCTAACCGATGTTCTGCTGTTGTCCCCATTGTTTTCTTTGGAGTTTTCATTTCCTTGGTTAGAAAATCTTCCCCTCGCATAACCACTAATCTTTGTTTCAGTTCTAACCGATGTTCTGCTGTTGTCCCCATTGTTTTCTTTGGAGTTTTCATTTCCTTGGTTAGAAAATCTTCCCCTCGCATAACCATTAACAGTTCTTTCAGTTCTAACGAATGCTCTGCTATTGTCCCTCAGAGGAGGAATATTTCTAGATCCTCTTGTATCAGAACTAGAACTTCCATTTCTGGAGCCAGAATTTAATCTTTCCAATGAAGAACCAGTCATCTTCTTCCCTTTAAGAGTGGAGCTACTTTCCCCTTCAGAGCTTCTCAATTTTAGCACAGTAGTCTTCCTTCTATTAAGGGTAGAATCTGATGATGAGCAAGAAGAAGGGATGGCATCAGACATCGTGTTGCATCTGAGGTTCCTCAATCCATACTTGCTAGAAACAGCTTGTGTCACCGGACCAATGCTTTCAGTTTCTCGTTGACGCAATCCAGGTCTTTGATTAAAATTCCTTTGAGATCTTAAATTTGATACTGCACCAGATTTTCCTACTTCCGCCCTAACCACATTACTAGACTCTCTACCTTTCTCTTCAGCTGGACGGCCACTTGAAGATAATGTTCTCCGAGGCTCTTTAACTGGTTTAGCTGGGCTAGCAGGTGTTCTACGAGAACTACCAACTACCTCCTTGCCACTTGAAGATGACTGCGTTGATGGCCTTAAAGTTTTAACTTTTTCAGACGATTTTTGTTGAGCAGGAGGGTTAGCTGCACTACTGCAACCCGCTCGGCTGCGATTTTGATCATCTCTGGTATTAGCAGTCTCTCTAAACACGAGGCCAGTCCTTTTTTTAGGGACTTCCATCCCACTAATGCCTCTTTTTGATATCATGCTCTTTCGATAGGCCCGCGGTAGTTTCCTTCCTTGTCAATTGAATTGATCTGCGTAATACAAGAAATAACAACCCATCTCAAATAAAAACAACTTATGAAAATAAGCCATGGCAGAAAACAACTTATAGATATATTATAATCTCTTCCAAATTCCCTAATTAACCCTTGCAAATTCCCTCTTATTCCATTAGAAACTAAAACGTGATAAGATGATGATGGTGCCGGAACAGCCAAAAAGCATGATGATTTAAATTACAAAAAGCAATAGAATAGATATATATATATATATATATAATAATGATGATATGAATTAAGGGGTGTAAGTAACATGATGAAGCAAAATTGAATGAGGTTATTCCCGATAATCCACGGTTTGAATTTGAATTGAATCGATAAATAGGAATTTAAGAGGGAATTGAAAATATTGGAATTAGGAATGATAGGTTAATTTATCTGTAGAAAGAGAACTGAATATGGTGAATACCTTTGGTGATGGTGTCGTTCTTCAGAGAGTGTGAAAGAAGAGAGTGGAAAAAGGGAATTTATAGAGAGAATGAATGAGAAGGGATGGAAAGGTGTGAGGGTATAAATCCTATTCGTCACCACATCAACAAATTTGTTTTTTTCGTTGACAACTTCAATCAACTCTTTCAAAAAAATAGATTTTTTTTATTTATATTTTTAAAATATCATATCTATACAAACTATCCATTTATAATTGTGGAACTAAAATTAAGCATATATGATTGGTTAGGATAATTTTTTTTTAAATGTCACCATCATCATTAATTCGTTCCTATAATTTCAATAATTATACACCTTAAATATTGTTTAATATTCATCTTGATTCTTAATCCTACTTACAAAAATAATAAGAAATAATTAATTTTTAAATTTATTAAATAATTAATATATCTCATATGTTATATAGTTTGGATATATTAAATAATCAATTAATTTAAATAAAAGATTTTCTATTATAAACAAAATTGGAGGTAAATTTTTTAAACATCACATCATTTATTATCTCTATTTTATTCCTATAGTTTATATGTGATTCCCCTTTTTTAAGAGTTGTAGACAAAATTTGATACAAATTTATTGTTAATTCAACAAACAACAAAACAACAAGTATCATGTTTATAAAATTCATTCACCAGAAGTATGTTTTTGAGCTTTATCTTTAATATCATATATTTTATTGTTAAGTTTAACACATAATTAATACTCAACTTTAACATTCAAGAACCAATAAAGAGCGGCAATGTGCGAGCCTCTCTGAATGCATAAGTCAATTACTAGTATCTATTAATAAAACATACGGTAAACTATCAATAATGTCCTTTACTTTAATTTTTTTTGGAGGAATGCTCTTTTCACTCTTATGGGTGCTCCCACACCACAGTGGGAAGTCCATAATATTCATAGCGTTCGGAGATACATATATGGACACACTTATTTTATTCATTTCTCAGACCAAATTGAAGAGTCGTCTTTTTTTTATGTAAAAATTTAATCTGAAGATGCATCTCCGTATGTTTAAAAAAGTGCTCCGAAAATGCGTCTCCCTAAACACCACTTATTCAAATGTTAGTGGGTGACTTGGAGATGCATCTCCGAAAGGTTTCTTTAATATCTCGCCTCAGACCCTTCCTTCTTCCTCCTTCTTCATTTTTCTCAAAAGTTTTAAAAAAAATCATTTGAGTTTTGCAATGATTTTACCTCTGCATCTATTCAATAAAGCTTATATCTTTAGAGCTATTTTCAGCATCTTGAAACATCCATCCAACTGCTCTTTCTCATCGATCAATTTCTTTTGATATGTTTTTCAAAATTTCTTATCTTTTTTATGTTTTGATTTTGAATTAGTTTTTTTAGGATACATTAGTTGTTTTAGGCACATTAGATAGTAGTTTAAACGAAACAAGTAGGCTAGAAGGAAATGCATTGACTTTATTTGTGATAAGTAGGGCAGAAAATGGGTTTCTATCATGGAAGGAAAATCGCAGGTTTGTCCGAAGATACATCTACGGATTTGCTCTGAATTAGTTTCGTAGATGCATCTCCAAATTGTATTCAGTCAAAAAATTGGGTGATTTTGCAGATTTTATGAATTTCTCTAGACATGTTGTTTATATTTGTCTCTGTTTATAATACATGTGCAATGGCTGAAGACAACACTGGTCTGATTAGGCTTGGGCATGTATCTTAAACCGCGTCAGTACAATGTGAGCGAGTTACGGCGAGGACCACGAGTTGTTGATAACTCATTTGATGTTGCATTTACTTCGCAGTACCGATGGTCTAGTTCTTGTATCCGAATCTCTCAAGCATCTCAGGCATATGACGCAGCAGAATTTGAGGTTCCCGAGGTCCCTGTTGACCCTGAAGCCCAGGAGGAAGCCGATTTGGATGACTCATTAGAGAGTTATCTAGGAGGGCCACTTGACACCTCCTTACTTTATAATTATGCAAAGCATGCTGCTAGGCATGTCTGACATGGAGAGGTTTTATTATTTTCTTTTGAAACACATATATTGTCAACTAATTAAATCCATATTGATGCTTATGTTTTATTTTTACAAGAACGTGATTGTTTTAAAATGATTAACCATGGCAGGAAGATATTAGAGTTATTTGATATTCCAGTATTTTTGGTTTATGTTCTTCTACGTACCTAACCATAAACCACAATATGCAGGCGGCTTCTGCAGAGAGGTAGAACCCATAGACTTCAACTTTATACCTACCTATAGGCGAGATGACCATCACTTTGGATGACGTCTCATGCCTCTTGCATCTCCCCGCCAGGGCAATATTACTGGACAACTAGAGGGTCGATCAACGAGAAGGGTTCAATCTGATGGTTACTCTGTTGTGGGCTAACCTTGGTAAGGTGGCAGTCGAGGAAGCTCACACTAGAGGTGCTCATGCACGACTTAGCATTTTGGAAACTCTTTATACAAGACATTTTCAGGGGGCTTTAGATGTTGTTGATGATAATGCGCAGGTTGAGTACCACTGAAATTGCGCATTGAGGTGTTACCTTTTGTTCATGGTTGGCATGCCCAAGTTTATGTATAAAAGTGAAACATATGTCGATGTGGTCTACCTTAAGTACTTCACATACCTGAGTGTGATTTAAAAGTAACTTTGGGGGGCTTCTTGTTTGATGTACCTATACTCGAAGTTGGGTGAGGCTTACCTTTGGAAGTCAAAGCAAATGATGGGGTGTTGCATGCTACTTACGGTAATTTCTTGTTACTAATATTTTCGTAATTCATTTATTACACTTATTATTAATATTGTATCCAAACCATTTTTAGGGATGAATCATCTCCCACTTCCCTCGCATCATCGGGTTTAAGGTTACGCCTGGCTACACAGAGAATTGTCCATGTGTAATCATTTTTGTTTTGTACATGGAGAATGGTACAGTCGAGCCATTCAGAGTCTCTCTTAACCGTATGGTGTTAGATGATGTTTGCTTCTGCCCATATTGGGTTTGTGCTTATGGTTACTTGACATGTATCTATAGGGTGTCACACCCTATCATGACGCTAGAAGTTCTTAGACAACCACCTAAGCCAACTAACTTGGAGGTACTTGAGGTTTGGGATGAGCAAGAAGAGAGCGTGACGAAGGTATGTCGACATGTTGCAGATATGAATATGAAGGTGAGAAAAATACACAAGAAGGGGGGTTGGATTGTGTTCTCTAATTTTCATTACTTCTAATTAGAGTTCATATTCTAAACAATAGTTCAAATTCTGATAATATGGATGCAGCAGAATAATAAACAGAAGCAAGTAAATGACAAATAAACACACAAAATTTATCATGGTTCCTCCCAAACTGAGGGTAGTCCAGTCCCCTTGCAGCACAATAGATTTTCCACTATAATCAAAATTGATTATAATTGTTTATGCCCTTGAGCATAAGACTTTCCTTTACTCAGATATACAACCTAAGACTTACTTGCTTAGATTCCACAAATCCAAAATTTCCTTGCATAAACCCCTTGTATTCAAGACATCCTTGCTTAGACCTACAATCCAAGACTTGCTTGCTCAATCAGCACCTGATCGAGACTTCATGCTTAAACCACTCGGATTCAAGACTTCTTATTTATACCCTCAAGTACAAGACTTCCTACTTATATCCTCAAATCCTAAGACTTCATTGCTTAAATCCCACATATGCAAGACTTCCTTCTTGTACAAGACTTTCTGCTTAGATCCTCGGATCCTAAGGCTTCCTTCCTTAAATATCACAAGTTCAAGACTTCCTATTTAGACTCACAGTCTAAGACTTCATTTCTTAATCAACAATTTGATCAAGGCTTCAATGCTCAAGCACACAACAAGATACTTACTTAACTCAAACTCACAGCAAGAGACTTTGATGCTCAAGCACATAACAAGAGATTTTCTTTATAAACTACTAAAAACTTGTTTAGCATAATAGATAACAACGAGTACCTAATATACAATCAGAGGTAGATGGTAATATCTATAACAAAGATTATAACACTTAAGATTGTTAAGATATACATTGTTTAACAAGTTTTAAGACTTTGTGCAATTTATAACAGATGACAGAAATTCTGCATACTCGATGTTGTTGTTATTGTCGATCTTATTATTCTTCCATTTGTTATAAGCGTGAGAACACTTCTTTTTCTGCTCTGACTTTTTTCTTTATTACTTGTTGATTCTTCGGTTTGAATCTTCAGCTACTTAAATATAAAATACAAAAGGGTAGCCGTTGGAAGAGATAACTTGCACAAGTGTCTTTGTCAATCCATAGTACTAAGAGACATATAAGATAGATACGCAAAAAGATCTTTATCCATTGTGTAACTTGTTTAACTGTAACATCTTTCTTGTGAGCTTTACTATAGATTCGTTGAGAGTGGAAATCCGTAAAGCATGTCAACTCTCCTTGAGTCATGTGAACACAAACTCTAGCTGACAAAATGAGTGTTAAGATAACATA